GCACTAGTTCCTAGAACGAGAGCTTACACAGCATGGAGGAAGCTAACAGCAAACTATTTGGAGTTCTCAAGATATTTCATGCTTGCTACGCCAACAAGTTTGATTTGTTTTTTGTTGCTTTGCAGCAGTTTGTGAATTTATGTTAGCAAATGGTGTTTGCTAATGGTGCTTTTGCTAGCTAGCCAGGTAGCACTGGAGTCTATTAACAGCTGGGAGGCTCTGTGCTACATTCAAGAACAGCTAAGACAGATGAAGGAACAAGAACAAGTCCAATGGGCACCGAAATAAGCTGTGCCCATTGTTTAGAAGATTTCCTGTTTAAAAAAATAAAAATAAAATAGCAGTTTTGTTTGTGCGTCTTGTTTGCGTGCTCACATTTCAGGCTGTTCCTCTGCACACAGTGTGGTGGCATGCTGCAAAACCGAGAACTAAAAAAAAAAAGATCTGTTTTGTTTAAATTGGTTGAGTGTGGTTGAATGAATAAAGCAGAGTCCGATTGTGAGGGTACAGGGAACCAAGAGAGACAAAGATCAGTGCTACTCAAGGATAACCGGTGTTTTGTCCGATGCCACAGAGATTTAAGGATCAAATTAATAAATCCAAATTGAGATTTATTGGTTGTATTTTTAAGTTAGACTTCTCTGCTTTGGACACATTAACACTAACAATAGCACATATCCCAATTTTGTTTAAAAATAAGTGGAAATTAAAAAGTGGCATTATGTCTAACTGAAAAGCATAACAGGAAACCTTTTAAGGACTGAATGACTTTATTTCCTGTGACAATTATTTTTGATTTTTGTTAACCGAGTGGAAGAGTGGACTGCAAATTATTCTGGTTATGTGGTTTTATTTCATTTGTCATTATTATAATGACTAGCACAAACGCAGGCCTGTGGGTCTCGTTTGCTTCGCTCAGGCATAAAAACACAGACATGTGTGTAATTTTATCGTGCCATTCTTTTTATGTTCATTATCACGGTGTATATTAAGAAACTTGCTGTTCATAAACACCAAACAAATGATTTTTTTAAAAAATATATTGTTCTACTTCTTTGCAGACTACTTATTAACAGTTTAAGACAAGCTAATCAGCTACAGGCACTATTAGTTACAGTTTGTTGAAAATGTATGCATATCTGTAAACAAGAACACAGTCCAGTGATCCCAAAGTGCCACTGTACTAAAAATTGTTTAAATTGTTTACGTAATGTAGACATAATGGCACATTTGTTTTGAGATCAACTACTATACACAATATAAATAAAATTTATAATAATCTGAGTCCTTAAAATAAAATAATCCCCAAAAACTATATAGATGTGGTTGTGCTTTAATCCAATCAGAAAACGTCCAGTAGCAAAAACTTTCCATGCCTGAATATTCTACATATTCTTTTCATACCACACTTCTGTGTTAATTGTTTTTCCAAAACGAAAGGCAACAATTCTTAAATTGTTCATGTGTGGATTTATCATTCTCTCCTTTCTTCTCACAATCAGGAGTACAACCTATACATTTAACAT